TTTCTCATAGCCGAGGGCACGGGGAACGAGCCATATATAATCTCAAGTCCTTTTTTCAAAACATTTTCTTAAGAAATTCCAGTTTCAGAATCTTCAACGTAACCCACGTGCCGCATGATCGAACGACGTCGTCTTCCATCTGCGTCCTACAACTCACCCGTTGAAAATGAACAGTGGTCACGATGTGAATTTGCCGAACAGTCGGTTGTGATCGTGGGGGAGAATCGCGATGCTACACAAATTGCTCGACATGTCGCTAACAAACAGGTATGTGAATTGGAAAATGTTAGAGGTTATTCCATGGGATGATCATTCAAGAATTTCCCCTATGAAGGGTTTATAGATAAGATGTGAGTTAGGCGACGAAGTGTTAAGTGGTGGAATAATGGGTTTGGTGCAAATTTGAACCCCATTGATCATTTAGATTGGAATTTTTTCGAGAAAGTTCAAAGTCGCGGCGCATCCCACAGGTGGAGACATGAACACAAAAAGCGTACTCTTACTCTCTTTGGTACCTTAACTCTTGGCAAATAGCTTTGTATGTGCGTGATCTATTCTTGTTAGATTATGCTACTACATGCTGGGAAGCACAGAAGGGGAAAATCTCTTCTCGCTTTTACCTTTAGTTGATTTTTTTTAGACTGGAGCCTCTCCATTTTTCGTCATGGACATGCCATCAGTGATGGCTCGTGTGGACGATTGGCGAGACCATCTGCCCCGCGTCCAGGCTTACTACGCCCTTCGTTGCAATGCCGATCCTGTGCTAGCGAGAATGCTTGCTGACTATGCACGACTTGGGTTTGCAGTCACCGATGCGCAAGAGCTGGCTGTGGTGAGTAAGCAGATCTTTCTTGTTAGTTCTTCAAAAAAAAAAAAGGAAATATTCAAGGCACTTGAACTCGTTTCCGCCGACCGAATCATCATGGACTGCCCACTGTGGACACGTAAATCTATGAGAATTGCTGGTGAATGTGAAGTCGGAACCATCGTGATTGAAAATGAGAAACAGCTCATGGATGCGATCAGTTATGCACCACACGCTCGGTGAGTTAATAGTTTTTAGAATGATTTTTGATTTTTCTTCCGTCAATATCATAAATATCCATTCAGCATACTTTTGGCTATC